AATATATCAAAGTTTAAAGGAAATTCTTGAAGCATTACGATTCCCTGAATAATGTAAACACCTAGACACATGGTTGAGTTTATATGTAGATACGAGTAATATTTAACACATATCCGCAGTCCTAGTCTATATAAAAAATGTGAGTAGTGTAAACACTACTCGTGGCGAGGGCTACTCTGAGTACTGGACTCTGCCACTTCATGTTCTGCTTCCCTCAAACGTCGCTCCAGCGTAGCCTGATGCTCCCTAAGTGCTCTAATTTCAGATCGGGCAACAATCATTTCGTCTTGAAGAGCTTCGGTGTGGTTCATGGTCTGATCATGGTCTTCATCCGACGGCGAAGACAGACAGCTGTAATCTCGGCGGTAGCACCAACCTCCATGATTTGGTTGGCGGATGCCCTTGCCTATCCACCCTAGTTAGCGATGCGGCGAATTACGATCCAACCTTTGTTTCCTTGATTAGGAAGGTAGGGATCTCCAGGTAAGTGGAACCCTGCCATAAAGTCTATTCGAGAAATAGGGATAAGAGGTACATAGAGAATTTGCGTGTGTGGTTTAATGTATTACAAAAATACTCCTATAGTATTTTAAGTTTAGAGGTTCTTTGTATGGTCTGTTGGTAAGTTTAGACTCGTTGTTCACTACGACTATTCCTCGGTATACATTAGTCACATTCTGGATAAATATAGTTGATCAGACTATATTCATCCCAAATCTGATTACATACCCCGAGACATACTCGTAGTGTTCAACTTATCTTCATACTTATTGTTTTGTTATTGTTATGACAACTAGCAAATATACTTGTACTTATACTTTTATAAAATATCCTAATATTTTAAAGTATACTTGTACGAAAATGTTTTGTCAGAGAGTTTTTGTCCCATTGTATTTATAGTTTGTATATCTTATGTGGTTCGATATACTTAGTTCACTATAAACAATGCTCTGATACCAATCTGTCACACCCTCAAACTTGAACGGCGGAAACGTTCGGGGGCGGAGGACGTTATGTGTAGTATCATAACAATTGAATAGTAAAGAAAACAAACACAACCATCATATACGTAATTGAAAAAGTTACATCATTGTATGAGTTACATGTTTCAAAATGTCAATTACAATATGATGTCAAAATATTTATTTAACGCCTTAGCGTCAAATCTTCAAAAGCTGTTGATAACCTGTTTTACTGGTTTCTGAGAATACAAGTTATTTGAGAAAAACTGTCAACATTTAAGTTGGTGAGTTCATAAGCATTTGTATGAATAAATGTATGCCATTCATTGAGATGAAATCACGTTCGTTTCCAGAGAATTCGATATTTTTCTATAAAATAAGTTGTAATTCGTTTGTTTATAAAATGGATGTGTTTATCCCGGAAAATCCTATATTTTCCATAAAGCTGAATCGTAAATTGTTTGTTTGTAAGATAATCATATTTACCCCGAAAAATCCTATATTTTCCATAAAACTGAACTGTAGTCTTATACATTCCAAGACCGAAAGTGCAAGTATATGTGTCATACTTAGTTTAGTAGTATGTAGTTTTATTTGTAAATAAAACCGTTTGAATAGATATGTATTTACGTAAAATAAGCGTATTATTGATTTTACGTAAAAATAACGTATTGTCGTTTATCATGTGAGTTTTCATAACCGTGATGAAAATGAATTGCCTGCCTCGACGTTCTTCAGGCGTCGAAAAGATATGACATTTGTCACCCATAACCTGCCGGTCTGGCTATAGCTATTAGCCAGGGTGCGGGATCATCAGTCTCGTATAGATCTATACACAAGTATCACGCTCTCCGGTAGGAGACTCTGGTTATAAAACAAGACTTCAATGGATACCTTTGGTAGGTACGATGAAGACGAATGACTCACAAATTTCCAACGAGATACGTGTTTTTGTAATGAAAATATTCGTGTATGAAATTGTTACTCTTTTCGTTATGTTTATAATATATAAAAATAATCGTATTTTTATATAATCGTTTCCTTGCCCCAAAAGGGTAAAATAATGTGATTGATTCCCAAACTATACCTATATAGTTTAAAATGTATTGTTTCGTTGAAAATGATAACCGTTTCGTTTTAATGTATTTTGCATGTAACCGTTTGCAAATTTGGTAATAACGCTATGTCGTATGTTTGATATTCTTACGTAAGAGATACTTAAACATAATAAAATATAAACCATAATTTGTATATTAACACAAGTTTCTTGTGTTTTACTTGTATTTCCCCCCTTAAAACATAGAAAAAGTTATGAAAATGTAGGGGTATGAACTCACCTTGTGTGTAGTCGAGTTTTAGATAACGAGACTAGAAACAGTGATCCTCGATTTAGAACACGAAATGATAGCCGTATCCTAATGTTTAAACACATATTAATGTGTGAATATTTGATGAACCAAGAATTTATATATGGTATACACACTAAATTTAAGAGATACTTACCAAGTCTTATAACTTGTTCTTAAGAAGAATGATCTCCTGGAGTAGTTTGATCTTGGGATGAAAGGAAATGAGTCTTATACTTGAGAGTGAATGGAAGGGATAATGTTTGCTATTTAAGAGAGAAATGAGGATGTTCTTATTTACTAGAAGTGTTAAATGGTAGTAAACTCTATTTAGTATCTTAAATATGAAGTAATATGAGGAGGTGATGTTTTCATTGGTAACTGAATCAAATCACATTGGGAAGCTGAATTAGGATAAGATAGCAAGATATTTAAGGAGTTTACTGTCAAGTTGCAAGTGTTCACTCCCAAAAGAAGAGTTTACTCCCAACCATGAAGGTGTTTACGGCCAACATGACCGAAATCACCCTCAAAAGGGAGATTTCGGTCTTAATGGACCCAAAATATAGGTTTACGGTCTACTTGGTTTGGGTTTTCGGTCATAATGGGCTTCAAGCCATGGGTTCATAGTCCTATGTGAGTCCATGAAGGAGTTTTCAGCCATATGTGACTTCAAACTCAATAATGGAATGTTTATAATCGAGTTTACTAAAATCATGTAATTCATTTGACTTTTGTTGACCCATTTTTACTCCTTAATGTTTTGGGTAACTTGTATTAGCTTATAACTTAAACTAACTTGGGTTATCACCTCTCATACTTAAATAAAACCATACAAGTATGGTTCATGAAAGTCATATTCTTATTGTACTGAATTACATTGAATTCACTTGTACACGGTGGTAGTTCAAACTTTTATGTTAACATGTGTGATTTACATTGGTTTGAAATAACGGGTTGTTACATACGCTGAGTGTACCAAGCTGGAGCCCCGTAATCAGGAAGGGATCTACTACGCTGAGCGTAGTAACTGAGTACGCTGGGCGTACTCAGTCTGTGTTGACCTCCTTTGACTTTTTAACTTTTTGAATTTAACCAAGTTTGACCTAAGGGCATTTTTTGTAATTTAACTAGTAATTGAGATTTAGGTCCCTGTTAATTGTATTGGTAACCTGTAGAGATAGCTTTTGGAGCAGTGATCGATGCAACTATTATTTCAGATTGTGAGGTGAGTTTCCTCACTGTACTTGTGGGTCGAAGGCACCAATGCCGACCCACTGGATTATGTTGTAGGATAGTAGTGGTCTTCGTGACATTTACTGATATGCATGTATGTGCTTGTTGTCTTTGTGACTCTTGCTAGTATGACTGTATGCTTAGTTGTAGGGGGTGAAATAAGTCCGTACCAGTTGAAAGATACTGAAGGAGTCAGAAGGGACTCAGAGAGTCGGAAGGGACTCGACGAATCGAAAGGGACTCAGCGAGTCGGAAGGGACTTAGAGAGTCAGAAGGGACTCAGGGTGAAATAGACCCGTTACATGTTTTAGTATGATATGCATGTATGATATGTATGTATGGTATGTGGTACTTTGGGGAACTCACTAAACTTTGTGCTTACAGTTTATGTTTATGGTTTCAAGTATTTCCGTTTCCAAAAAGGAAGGGTCCGATTTGATCGCACTGCATCCCCTTGAGTTTTATTCCGCACTGAATGTTTACAAAGTACTCTGATATTTTGAGAATACTTTGACTCTGATCGTCTTTTGGAACAACGAATGAATGACTTTAACTTATTTAAAATGAATTTTTTACTCAGTATTTTTGGGACGTTACAACTTTTTAACTTATCGACTTCTTGAAAAGTTAATGAGTTAAACAAGGTATTTGGATACCTAATAAGGACTTAAATCAACTTTTTGTTTACCCTTTGAAAATAAGTTTTCAAGAAGTATTTTTGAAATGACTTATAAGTTATTAAGATTAAAAAACAAACAAAAGATAATTTTAAGCCCAACACTTTTTAACTTATTGACTTTTGCCACTAATAAATTAATCTAAATACTTTTTTAAAAACTCATTTTTTCACCTCACAAGTCAATAAATCATCTCTAATAAATGAAGATTTTTTTGCCATTTGTCACGCTCTCATTCAATTTGCCAAATGTCATTTTGTAGTTATTTCGAATTAATTATTTTTTCACATATCATTTTATAGGTTTTTCTATTTTATTAAATTCCACATAATATTTTAATGTAATAATTACAATAAATGTAGTAATAAACTTACATTTTAATTTCAAAATTCTCAAAATTAAAGTTCATTAACTTATTTTCTTTATTTAAATTATTTGTTTAAATTTAAAAGATAAAAAACATTTCCATTATTATAAATAATTATTTTTCTTATTTTCTTAAAAATTCAAAGTTCTTAAATAGTTTGACTTTTATATTTAACAATTTTTTTTAAATTAACCGATGTAATACACTAGTATTGAATACTTTTTTTTTCTACTTCAAAATGAAATTCCAAACATCCTTTTAACCACAAATCATTTTTATAATTTAAAAACTTTTTTGAAATCCTACGAAAGAAAAATACAAACTACTATATGACATTTTTGTATATAACTATTTACTTTTATTTAAAATAATAATAATAAAAAAAAGGCGAGGGGTCTAATAATCCCAGATAAACCATAGTCATAGTGCCGGGTTCTCCAAATTCGACCTAAATTTGCAGTTTTGCATATAAGAGCGTATCATATTGCAGGGTTTAGGGCTCTGCAATCCAGAAGTCGCTTGAATCCTCCCACAAAATTGTTCATACCGACCTAATTTAGGTTTGTTTTATTTGATGGTGTTCTTTTTGCTTTCATGCTTTCTCATTCTACTTGTGGTTTATAATCATTATAGTCAAAATGCAGATTGATGGGTGTGATTGACTTATACAATGGTTCATCTCTTTGCATGGTCAAATCCAGCAACGGTTTTTGCTTTTCGTCATCATTGAAAACAAGAACTTGTGACTTTTCAAGGAATCAGAGGAAGTTGAATTGCATGGCCTCTATTAGCGCAACGGTCAAAGAGGGAAGACAACAATTGACTGGGGATTCCTTCATCAGACATCATCTTAGAGAATTGTCCCCATATCAATCCATATTGCCCTTCGAGGTAATCATTTATCATCTGATATAGTTGGCACTCCAATTAACAATGCATGATTTTATATTTGATTTGCCTTTTTATCAATTCAATCGTACCCACCCACTTATAGTTGATATTATCTTAGTTGTATAGTTTTCATTTTTGTGGGAACCTATTCTATTAGCAACAAAAGATAAAACCAAATTGACCCATTTCTACATATATGGGTTGAAGTCGGTTCCTCCAGATTGTTATTGTATAAAACAGAAGCATATGATGTTGCTTTTCTAGATATTTGAGCTTCATTTGAACAACACCATGTTAGATCATAAATACTAATAAAAAAAAGGCATGAATCATTTCAGTAGGCTGAATAAAGCCATTGGCAGATCTCTTTGGTTACATAGATGAAGAGGAGGAGGTATTCACGTCTTTAGTAGCAAAGACAGACTAGTTATTGCAATTTTACATTTGTTGTGTAACAAATGGGATATTTGTCTTGTTCTAATAAGTTAAAGAAAGTTTGTTATTGTAACAACTAACACGTTTGGTGTGCATTGGACCGGCGGTGTCAATGAGACAAAAGTTGCCATTTTTTTTTGTCCCTTAAAAAAGCGGGACATGGGCTCAGTCAAGTCTCGATCTCTTGTTTGTACCATCATCATCATCATCATCAAAAATAGCCCTTGTCATATGTAACAAACATAGCCAGCGTAAATAAGCAAAACAATTGTGTCCTTGCTGCTTATTAAGTATTAACAGCCTAAAAATGGTATTGGTATGCAATGAGTAAATGACAAGAAGGTTATAAATTATGATACAGGTTTTGTCAACTCGTCTTGGTAGGAAGCCTGAGGAGATTGTAAAATTAGATGCAAATGAGAATCCGTATGGTCCACCTCCAGAGGTAAGCCTTGCTTTGCTTTCTTATATATCAATTGAATTTGCCTCCAAACACTATCAATGATGGGCATGTGTTTTTCTACTACCTACTATCGCTCAAAGAGCCTTTCTTTGCTAAAGTTTTTTTTAGCCCCGACATTCTGGTTTGGTATCCTAGTCATGGTTTTAAAATTATAAAGATTTGATAAATAACATTTTCTTTTCTTGCTTTTATTTTTATATATATATATATATATATATATATATATATATAACAATTATTTTTAAAAAAAAAGTACCTCCAACAAAATACCATTAGTGTGTATCAATTATATTTTCTAGATTATAATACGAAGAGAAAATTTTGAGGGTACGAGAAAGAGATTTAGAAAAGTAGCATGAGAAATCAATCTTCATTTATAATGTGGAATTTGGAAAAGGAACAAACTTGTAGTCATCTAAAGTAAAGAATGAAATCTTTTTTTATTTGTAATATATGTAAAAGTGAAACTAGGAATTATTGTTGTTTTAAATTACAAATACTGATTTGTAGGTTTTCGAGGCATTAGGAGCAATGAAATTTCCTTATATTTATCCGGACCCTGAAAGTCGTAGACTGCGTGCTGCCCTTGCTGAGGATTCTGGGCTTGAATCTGAGTATATCCTTGTAGGCTGTGGGGCTGATGAGCTAATTGATCTCATTATGCGGTTAGCCACTTACTCTCTAATTTCCACTTATAAATCTCTATTCTTGGATCCAATAACATGATATTCATTCAGTTTGCTACAACAGAATTGGCAAACCTGATCTTGAAATAATCAATTATTGTTTTCTTAGACTTTTAGTTTTCTAAAAGTATTTTGAAAATAGAAAATTAATAGTTATTATACTCATCTTCGTTTTTCCAAAACAGAAGTTACCAATATGTGAAGCTTTTTTAGTATTATAATTTCAACTTTAACTCTTGAAATGCTCATAAGTAATATCTATATATATATTTATCTGCAATAAACAATTACATCACAATAATAAAATTCCTGCAGTTAGAAGTATTCTAAAACTGTTGTATATCAAAAGAAGCTAGCAATGTACATGATCGATGTTTGATTATACCTTTTTTTAATTAATAATTCATAGAAATAAATTATAAAATAACAACTTTTTTTTTGTACATGCATGATATACCTAGTCACTGTGTTTGACTTTCTTGAGCCATCTCCCATGACCTCAATTGCCTCCTCCAATGATGCGGGTTTCTTAGGAACTAGTTATACTACTTATGTTGCTAATGGTTTCTCATGAGTCATGACTTTATAAGTTATATTTGACTAGTTTAAGCAGAGGGCACAGGTGTGTGTGCTTGATTGTACTTTTGCTGTTGTTACAGCCAAACTTTCAAGTTTCATAAAAGGACCCTACCCTACTATTCATGCCTCAACATGAATATCTAGAATCATGTTCAACCATTCTTGCACATTAGAGTTAATTGTATTGCTTGCAACAACTAGATTATAGCATGAATCTTCCAAAAATAAAAATCTTGAGTTTTACACTTGTAAAACCCAAACAAAATTAATGTAAAGTGTATGTTTGATTGTTGTCAATTTTGGAATAAGAAAACATTGACTTTATAAACACTATGTTGCAGTTTTTTATTCTCTATGTCAATAAAAACATTAGGGAATAAAGCAGAAAACTATAGTTGCAATAAAACTGAGTAAAAGAGGGGACAAGAGTAAAATTGCACAAAAGTTAAAAGGAAACTAGTCCACTGCCCTTTTATCCTTGTCTAACCTTGCTAACAAGTAAGTAACAACTGCCTGAATTTCCCCTTAAATTTTATGCATGCTCCTTCCTTAATCAATCAACATTATGATATGATGTGTGTTGATGTTGAACGAAGCCACCCTCCACTTTAATTAACATAACGATGCAACCTTTATGCGTCTCTGTGTCTTCTTGAACTTGAAACTCTGTTTTAGGTGTACAACTTCTTTACCATCTTTTTGCTTCTCCTTCAAATTACCTTGGCCTTGGTTGTTGTTTATTATTTTCAGATGCAACCAACCTGGCATCTAGTGATACCTACCTACCTACCTACCAAAGCTTTGTGAATGAATCTCTTTCTTTTTTTTTCTTCTTATATACCTCATCATTTCCTCGCTTTTTCAACACTCATTCTACAACTATTCAAGTTTCCTCGTTAAGGTTAAATAAAGAATGAAAAAAACTACCCCATCCCATGGCCCCGGTTCTTACACGACAACAACCTTTTTACCATTTTTCAATTTCATTTAACCTATCCATACAAATGGGACTTATTATCATGTATTAGCAACATTTGCCATAACTCCAAACTTAATACTCTTTTATACTTTTCCAATTTTACACTAAAACTGGGATTTCTAATCTTTTTATTTCTTCCTTTTAGATATCTAACACATGGAGGGAAACAACTACTCAATATACAATATACTCGATTCTACTCCTGTTTACCTTACCCCAAATCTTGACTGAAAGCATGAATAATTTTCCTAAGGCTTACCAACAAAATAATCTTGACCGAAACCCATAAATAAACACTCCAAAATCTGGATTGGGCTTCTTTCATCAAAGTTGATTTCCTTTACAACCTCTTCAACTTTAATTCTTACTTCAAATTCAAATGTATATTGACAACTTAATTTCCTTCTCCCTCTATGGTTTTGTAATAAGTGAACTCAATAACCATAGGCAGATTTTATTCAATCTTGGTCAACTGGGAGATTCAATTGTTGCTCTTTTCTTTTCTTTACACGATTATCCAATATTTAGTCTATACTTGCACATTAAAAAAACTATTCATGTATGACATTTTTCATATATAAAATACAAAATTTTATTTAGATCATGGATTAGGTGTGTCATGTTCACTATTCTTTTAATTGAACTTCTTTTCATTAATTTGAGTTTGTTAGAACTTAGAACTTAATGCAAACTTCCTCATTAAGAAGTTATAATATTAGTTTCTACGTAGTTATTAGTAGATGTTTTCATTGTTTGTTAGGACATTTTGTTTGTATTTAATCTTTTATTATTATTTAGCTATGAATTGTTATATATTATTTTTTATTAATTAATTTTATAATTTTAAAATATATAGCATATTGTTTAACTAATGTAGAGTGCAAACTTTCTTTCCATGTGTATGCGTGTGTGTGTATGTATATATATATATATATATATATATATATATATATATATATAAAATATAGCCTCTGTTAATATATTATGTTTATTAAAACAAGTTATATACCTGAGCAATGTAAGAGTATACAACTAGCTCGTTATGACTTGTAGATATTTGTTGGAGTGTTCTGACTTGTTATGCTAAAATCTAATTTTTGTTATTCTCTGTGCATTTGTTTATTTTTAAGATTTGATTTTGTAATGTCACAGGTGTGTGCTTGATCCAGGTGACAGTATTGTAGACTGTCCTCCAACCTTTACAATGTATGAATTTGATGCAGCTGTTAATTGTGCACGTGTTATAAAAGGTAGGGATTTAATTCTCTGTTCATTATGTATCACATCAATAAAAGTACCATGTGCTTTTCGGTATTTTGCCCCAATAATATATCCACACCCTGCCTTCCTTTACTACCTTATATTTCTTCCATGTTTTAAATTTAGTGATTTTTATATCTGGTCAAATTGAGCAGTACCTCGGAAGACAGACTTTAGCTTGGATGTAGAAAAGATTGCTGAAGCTGTTGAGCATCAGAAACCAAAGATCATTTTTCTAACTTCTCCCAATAATCCTGATGGGAGGTAATTAATAAATAACTGCTCTTATTATTATTATTATTATTATTATTAATTAATAATGTTGTTGTTGTTGTTGTTTTTCTTTTGCTTGAAAAGTGCTCCATGAGTATGCAGAAAAATAAAACTGAACCAAAAAAATGAGAAAAGCCATTACAGAAAACCGAAAACCAAACCGTTTGAAAATCGACGGTTTGGATTTCGATTATTTGTTAAACCGAAAAATTGACCAAACCATATCTTAATACAGCGTGTTTTAATAACATATATATACACACACACACTGATAGGGAACGGGTCAGTCCAACTAACAAGCCCACTGAAGAGCCCAGGCCTTGGAAGGTCTACTCACGCAAAAAGAAAATAGGACAGGTGTAAAATGATGTCATAGTTGTTGCATCATTTGAGGGGTAATATATATATATATATAGTTGAATGCTGGAATAAGGAGGTGTGGAGAGAATATTTTCTGTTAGAGAGAATCGGCTAGTGGCTAGCTTGGGCAGGAAGAGTAGTTATTGGCTCTCTTCTCTGACATTCCATTTTGTATTCCTTCCATTACCATTTCCAGAAATAAATCAAGCGTTCAACCATTGTTTGTGATTCCATCTTGTTAACAGTTATTTGCTTAATCTATTGGTTCCATTGTCCTGTTTCTCCTCCTCCATCACCATGCCTGATAACACTGATGCTCACGTTACCACTCGTCTCCAATCTCTCCATAATAGAATGAATACTCAGGAGGGGAAAATGGACCAGATCTCAACACAAATGCAGGATTTGACTGTCTTTTTCTCATCCTTGAAGGAGCTCATGGAGAAAATGCTGCAGACTTCTCTCAACCGTCCTGTTGAAGAAGGTGCTTCTTTCGGTACCTTCCTCCGCTCTGGCCTCTCCAATCCCCTTTTCCAACCCATAGATGATTAGCTGTTCTCTCTACCGAACGTCAAATTACCTGTGTTCGATGGAGAAGACCCTCGTGGGTGGATAACCAAAGATGAACTCTACTTTTCCGTTCATCAAACCGCCGATTCCAACAAATTAAAGCTTACTCAGATGTGTATGGAGGGTTCTGCACTCAATTGGTTCACCACGTTGTTGTTGAAACATCCCCAATCCACTTGGGAACAATTCAAAGACAAACTCATCATTCGATTTGGTGGTTCTCATTTCCTGAACGTACATGAAGCTCGAAGCTCTGGGCTCCATCTTTCAGGAAGCCGACATCGACACCTACATCGAGCAATTTGAGTCAATATCTGCCCTAATTCCCGATCAATCTGAAGACCGGTCCCTTGGGATGTTCTTACGTGGCCTTCAACCAACCATCCGAAACTGGGTTCGTGCTCTACGCCCCATTACTTGTGACACCGCCATAGAATTAGCTCGCAATGTTGCCACCGCCACAACCACCCCTGCCGATTGCACAACTTTCCAACGGAAGACTTCTTCATTCGGATCGGGCTATCCACCAGGGAAAGGTACCTTTTCTCCGGCCCATTCCTCTCCTAAATCCAGTGATCTACTTAGCCCAACACCGAGACGCGCGCCTACTCCGGGTCAAACCACGGGTAAACCTCCAGACCCGACCCGACCAACTACTACTACACTACGACCTAATCGCACCAAACACCTCACCAAACATGATTGGGAGGAACGCCGTCGTCTAGGGCTCTGTTTCAACTGCGGTCAAAAGTACTCCCCCCAACATAAATGTAGCGATGGTCAATTTCGTGTGCTACTTCTTACCGATGGTGACACTGTCAATGATTCTGATGACCTCTGTCATCTCGATTCGGACCCAACCGAAGATAACACCGAGACGCGCGCCTACTCCGGGTCAAACCACGGGTAAACCTCCAGACCCGACCCGACCCGACCAACTACTACTACATTGTGACCTAATCGCACCAAACACCTCACCAAACATGATTGGGAGGAACGCCGTCGTCTAGGGCTCTGTTTCAGCTGCGGTCAAAAGTACTCCCCCCAACATAAATGTAGCGATGGTCAATTTCGTGTGCTACTTCTTACCGATGGTGACACTGTCAATGAATCTGATGACCTCTGTCATCTCGATTCGGACCCAACCGAAGATACTCCTGTCGACGGTGAATGCCATGTGTTAGATTCTCATGGTTTCACACCCGATCTCTCTACTACACTACGTACCTTGAAGCTTGCGGGTCAGCTCCACGGTTTCACAGCTCTTATGTTGATTGATGGTGGTGCCACATACAATTTCATCTCCAAAACAGTAGTATCAACTTTGGGTCTCCCAATCTCTCGCACCAAATCTTTGTCTATCAGCGACGGTACTAAGGTCACGATGGATGAAATATGCAGAGGTATTCCACTGTCCATGGGTTCATATTCTTGTACAGTTGATGCTCTTGTTTACGAATTAGGATCTTTGGACATAATTTTGGGCGTTGCTTGGCTGGGTACGTTAGGAGACGTTGTGTTTAATTGGTTGAAACAGGAGATGCGTTTTTGGTTCCAGGGCTCACAGATTACACTACAGGGCATTTCTCCTACACCTCAACATCACTCCCTTAATTTATGGCTAGAACTCCATCTGAACACCATCACCGATCCTCATGAACCCACCACTACCCTCTCTACTACACAACAAGACCAATTAACTATTATCCTGTCTCAATTTACACCTTTATTTCAATCTCCCCAAGGGCTTCCTCCTATCCGTTCTATTGAACACCGTATCACCTTACTCGAGGGACATGTCCTATCTGTGTACGCCCTTATAGATACCCTCATCTCCAAAAAGATGAGATTCAACGCCAGGTGGAGGAGATGCTTTCCACCAGAATTATTCGTTTGAGCCATAGTGCTTTCTCCAGTCCCGTTATACTTGTCCGCAAGAAGGATTCTTCCTGGCGACTTTGTATTGACTATCGAGCTCTTAACCGTGTTACAATCCCTGACAAGTATCCAATCCCAGTCGTCGAGGAACTACTCGATGAACTTCATGGCTCTGCTTTCTTTTCGAAGATCTACCTTAAATCAGGATTTTATCAAGTCTGGATGTGCGAATCGGATGCCCATAAGACTGCTTTTCGTACTCATAATGGCCACTATGAGTTTTTAGTTATGCCTTTTGGGCTAACTAATGCGCCTTCTACATTTCAGGCCTTAATGCACGAAGTCTTCGGCCCACTTCTTCGTAGGGGCGTTCTCGTCTTTTTTGACGACATTTTAGTCTACAACACAAATTGGGACTTCCATCTTCAACTCCTTACCCAAGTGCTCATACTTTTACAAGATCACAAATTGGTCATTAACAAAAAGAAAAGCTCTTTTGGCATCCAATCGGTTGAATATCTTTGACACATTATTTCACAACAGGGCGTTTCCATGGATCCTCAAAAGATTACTACTGTCCAAGCTTGGCCTACACCTAAAAACGTGAAAGGAGTTCGAGGTTTCCTAGGCCTCACGGGCTATTATCGAAAGTTCATTCCCGGGTATGGCAAGATTGCCCGCCCTCTAACTGAGTTGACAAAAAAAGATGGGTATTCTTGGGGGCCTGAAGCACAAGCTGCTTTCGATCTTCTTCTGAAACAGACAATGGCCACAACCCCTTTTCTCACACTTCCTGATTTCTCCAAATCATTCGAAATCGAATGCGATGCATATGGCCATGGACTTGGGGCTGTCCTTGTGCAATCTCGCAAGCCAATTGCTTATTTTAGCAAGACACTGTCTGACAAAACACTCTCCAAATTTGCATACGAAAAAAAATTGATGGCTCTCGTCTTTGCAATTCAACACTTGCGACCTTATCTATTTGGGGCGGTCTTTCACAGTTTTCACAGACTAAAAGAGCCTCCGCCATCTACTAGAACAACGCATTACCACCACTGACCAACAAAATTGGCTTGCCAAACTTATGGGATACAATTTCTCTATTCTCTATAAACCGGGATGAGATAATAGCGCTGCCGATGCTCTCTCCCGTGTCTCCGAAGCTCCAGACTTTCGCACCCTATTGTCATATCCTTGTTGGCTAGATGGCGATTCCTTGTTGGAGGGTTTCGAGGCTGATTCTCAACTTCAAAAAATCGTTTCTGATTTACAGGCCAACCTTTCTTCATATCCTGGTTTTTCCCTCATCCAGGATAAACTATACCACAAAGGCAAATTGGTCATTCCAGCTTCTTCAGGTTGGATTCCTCAGCTGATTGCAGAATTTCACGACAGTCCTACTGGGGGCTACTCGGGGTTTTAATGGACTTACCGCCGTTTAGCAGCCCAAATTTATTGGATCGGTATGACCAAAATTATCAAAGCTTATGTCCAGGCTTGTGACACTTGTCAACGCTACAAACATTCAACCCTTGCTCCTGCGGGTCTCCTACAGCCACTCCCTATTCCATCGCGCATATGGGACGATATCTCATTGGATTTTATCACAAGCTTACCCAAATTAAAAGGGCACGAAATGGTCTTGGTAGTTGTTGACCGATTGTCAAAATATTGCCACTTTATACCTTTAAAACATCCTATCACAGCTCGTTCCCTCGCTGAAATATTTGTTAAAGAAGTGATACGATTACATGGTCCACCCAAGACCATCCTTAGCGACTGTGATCCTTTGTTTCTAAGCAAATTTTGGACGGAGATTTTTAAGCTACAAGGGAGTCACTTGAAATTCAGCTCAGCATATCACCCGGAATCCCACGGTCAAACCGAGGTGGTCAACCGCAGTCTTGAAACATACCTCCGATGTTTCGCTTCTGAGTAACCCAAGACTTGGTCCCACTGGCTTCCATGGGCAGAATTCTGCTTACCATGTATCTACAAATACCACTCCTTTTCATATTGTCTATGGTCGTCCTCCTCCGACAATTTTTTAGTACACACAAGGTGAGATCTGTTGTGAAGCAGTGGCATCGGATTTGGCTGATCGAGACGAGGCCCTTTCACAGCTCAAATACCACCTTGCACGCTCCCAGTCCTACATGAGGACTTATGCAGATAAACACACACGGGACATCGAATTTTCCGAAGGGGACTGTGTCTTTCTCAAATTGCGTCCCCACCGTCAACAATCAGTTATTCGTCGGATCAACCAAAAGCTGTCACCTCACTTCTACGGGCCTTTCCTCATCACAGCTCGTGTTGGTCCAGTTGCTTATCGCCTCCAATTACCAGATTCTTCGAAAATACACCCCGTGTTTCACGTCTCCCTTCTTAAACGTGCCATTGGGAACCATCAAGCTGAACCATCTTTGCCCCCTGGCTCGAAATGGACTCCACCACTCCTCCACACCCACTGCAATGCTTAGCTACTTGCACTGTCACAAAGGGAGACTCTCAAGTCGAAGAATGGCTCATTCAATGGGAAAATCAAACAGTTTCTGAGGCAACATGGGAAGACGCTTTTGCCATCCAGGCTTCTTTCCCTACTTTTGGGCTTGCGGACAAGCCCAATTTTCACGACCCCGACGTTAAATGCTGGCAAGGGTGGAGCCACCTTAGGACCAGGGTAGGTCCAGGCCCACCCTCAATTTTTTTTTTTTTTTTTTTTTTTTTTTTTTTCATATAGAAATATGATATTCTTTGGGTGTAAGTTACTCAATAAACACATGTAGTTTAGCGGCAAGGCATTGTATCTTTGATCATACGTTAAGTGTTCGATCCCAGTGCATTACAATTCCTTTGTTTTTTTTTTAAATTCATTTCTAAAGTTAAAATTTTGCCCCTTATATTTGGAAGTTAAATTCTTTTAATACAAGTTTTCAAAATTTACATATTTCACACCTCAATATTTATAAATTTGCATAATTCCATTTAATATATATATATATATATATATATATATATATATATATATATATTTATATATATAATTGTATTTAAGAGGCCATTTTTTTTGTAATTCTCTCTCTCTCTCTCTCTCTCTATATATATATATATATATATATATATATATATATATATATATATATATATATATATTTCAATTATTTTATAAGGAACACCCTAAATTTTTTTTTTGGCTCCGCCCTTGAATGCTGGAATAAGGAGGTGTGGAGAGAATATTTTCTGTTAGAGAGAATCGGCTAGTGTCTAGCTTGGGCAGGAAGAGTAGTTATTGGCTCTCTTCTTTGACATTCCATTTTGTATTCCTTCCATTACCATTTCCAGAAATAAATCAAGCGTTCAACCATTGTTTGTTATCCCATCTTGTTAACAGTTATTTGCTTAATCTAAACCTTTCCTATCACGCACACACACATATATGTGTGTGTGTGTGTGTAGAGCCAGGTTCTTTTGAGAACCAAAAGATTTGTGAGAACGTGCGAACTAATAATCAACTCATCATTTTTCAACACCAAAAACACCAATCTTCTCCAAATGGTGTGTCTAAGCCATATCTAGGCTCAAAAAAAGATTTGACGATTTTTTTTGTTTTTTTTGTATGACTGCTGATGAGCACAATCAACAGTTGTACGGACTGCTGATGAGCACAATCAGCAGTCGTATGGACTGCTGATTGCTCATCCGCAGTCCATATGACTGCCGATTGTGCTCATCAACAGTCCGTACAACTGTTGATTGTGCATACATGCAAATTTCGAAAATAAATAAAAAAAATTGTCAAATTTTTTTTTTGAGCCTAGATATGGGTTAGACGCACCATTTGGAGAAGATTGGTGTTATTGGTGTTGAAAAATGATGATTTGATTATGAGTTCGCAAGTTCACATGCTTTTTTTAGTTCTCACAATAACTCAGCCCTGTGTGTGTGTGTGTGTATGTGTGTGTATATATATATATATATATATATATATATATATATATATATATATATAGTGAAAACTGAGCAAATTTTGAGAAAGTGAGGGAATGATTTCCCTCCCATTTATGATTTATCCTTTATTATCTTTCATTTCCGAAGCATGTGTGATTTTATTACAACAAGTGATAAGTGGTGTGTTTAGTATATTTATATATTTATCCTGATGGACGTGGACAGTGTGATCAGTGATGATGTTCTATTGAAGATACTTGATCTACCGATACTTGTTGTCCTGGATGAAGCATACATTGAATTTTCAGGACTTGATTCTAAGATGCAATGGGTCAAGCAGCATGACAATCTTATTGTTCTTCGCACATTTAGCAAAAGGGCAGGTACATAACTTTCTTCTTCTTCTTCTTCTTCTTCTATCCTAAATCCTATTTATTATACCCATGAAAACTTACAACCATCATCAAGCTTTGACCGAGACTTTTCCAAACCATCTGACTGACTACCCTTCCTTTTGACGCTGCTACATTTGTATAGGGTAGGGCTATTTTAATATTTTCGAACGAACAAGAGTGTTTTTGGATGGGAAAAGAAAACTGCTTGTCTGTCCTTCCTAGTCCTAGATAATAAACAAATGACATAATACATGATGTTTGATGTGCATATGCATCATGAATTACTAGGCCCAAGTACCAATAAACCAAGAGTCTTAAAAGGTCATTCTAGAAGGTCCAAAAGGGTAGTGGTGGAAAGTGGCCGAATTAGGTTATAGGACTGAGAAGAATTAGAAAAGGGGATTATGTCTTTGACTTTGATGTCTAGACTTTTGATATTTTGATACATCTTGTATTGGCTCCAACCTTGTGCTAATGAGAAATTAGGTTTTTTTTTTTTTTTTTTTTTTTTTTTTTTTTTTTTTTTTGTAGTTCATCATTAAGATCATCTTCCTCTCCTAAATTTGATTTCATTAAACCCTAATTTCTGTTTCTCATCACATTATTATTGTCATCATTCTTTCAGCATCAAGTAAATTGTTGTTTAACAAATGAAGAACAGTTTCAGTTAGTTTCATGATATTTTGAAATTACTACACATTTGAGCTATAAACTCGTAACACCACCAAAATCCAAACCAAATGATTGGTTTTGGTATCATCAGTATGTGGTGTTTTTGAAAGGAATAACTAGTGTACTAGTTGGTGTGTTTGGTTTATTATTATTATTATTATAAGAGTGAGTAGTAGCAAATCACTTTTTTTTTTTTTTGTTTAATAATTGGAATATAAGAAGGTAAGGTAGGTATGATAATAGAAGCTAGTGTTATTTGTCCCATTGAATTGATAGTGATAGTGAATAGTGAATAGTGATGGAGATGTTTGTGGTTTTGGTTGGAATTGGAAACAGGGTTAGCAGGACTACGGGTGGGGTATGGAGCATTTCCTTTGAGCATTATTGAGTACCTCTGGAGGGCAAAGCAACCTTATAATGTCTCTGTTGCTGCTGAACTCTCTGCTTGTGCAGCATTGCAGAATCCTACTTATTTGGAGGTAATTATTTGATACCATTACTTACAGTTACAGTTACAGTTGGAATTGGGTAGACTTTTCAAAGTACATTCAAAAAAAGTTGGGAGCAATGAAAATGGAATTGGGTAGACTGCTGCATCTTTTCAAAGTACAATCATGTGACTGTTGTGTTGACTTGAGATTATTGATTGATTGGCAGAAAGTAAAAGTGGCCCTGGTAGAAGAAAGAGAGAGGCTTTATGCGCTTTTAAAACAAGTCCCGTTTCTAAATCCGTATCCAAGCCATTCCAATTTTATACTTTGCGAGGTCACTGCTGGAAGAGATGCTAAGAACCTAAAGGTCTCTCTCTCTCTCTCTCTCTATATATATATATATATATATATATATATATATATATGTTATATGGCTGCTGTGTTTGTTTGTTACGTGGGACAAGACGGGAGTTTAGGGTTATTTTTTTTTATGATGATGATGAGGGCTTTTACGTCTTTTGCACACATGCACGATATGAGAAGCACTCTGCCCCTATATAGGCATGCTGCATGATCGTCTTTGGGACTGAATTTGTTATATTATATGTAAATACGATATGTGGTTTTATCTCTGCCTTATGTATTAATTAATTATAACTAACAAAAAATTACATCGAATAAAAGCTCATCAATATGCAACCTTTTTAAACATTTTTAACTCTTTGTAAACTTAATTTACAGCATTTTTTTTTAAACATTTTACTAACTTTTTTTACAACCTAGGAATGGTGAAAAAATAAGTAAATAAGTTTAAAAGGTTTGATATGTGAAAAGGTTTAAAAATACTTTTTAAACCTTTTTTGAAAACCTCTAAAAAGAAATCATCATTTTTAAACTTTTTTACTTATATTCAATTTTTTTAAACCTTTTTCTTATGTTTTTTCAACCTTCATAGGCTGTAAAAATAGGTTAAAATGATGTAAAAAAGTTTAAATATGTTGTAAAAAATGGTTTAAAAAAAGTTGTAAAAAAATTTCAAAGTCTATAAAAAGTTTGTGCAAAAAGTGTTTAAAAAGTTGGGACCAAGTTTATAACAAAGTTTAAAAGTTGGGCAAAAAGTGTAAATATGTAAATGATAGCAGGTGAAAACACATAAACCCTAAGTTGGTTACCTTTTTACACAATAATTTGGTTTTGTTGGCAACATGAAGACAAACTATACATATGATATAAAAGATTCATTATGAAAATTGATTTTATTGTAAGATGCCAATCTAACATGATCATACTATTTCATTACCTTGCTTATTCGATTACCAATTTCATCCAACCAAATGTTTCATTCTGGTGGAATTAGAAATTGAGCTTCCAATATTCAGGTATGTTGGAAGGAATTCAATTTCCATTAAAAGAAGACCAAAATACCCTCATTAAATATGTTTACGATTTAAGTGTATCTAAATATTAGTAAACTATATCTAGTTTTTATTATTGAATACCATTTTATTTCCTTCCAACCAAATAAATAAATAAATGCATATCGTATTCCAGTAGTTCTGTGTTTTGACACAGATATTCTTCCATTCTGTGGTGTGGTTTATTGATGATATTAAAGATGATGATTCATGATTTACAGGAAGATCTTGCAAAAATGGGGGTGATGATACGTCACTACAGCAACAAAGAACTGAAGGGCTATGTCCGTGTTTCTGTTGGTAAACCAGATCAAACCGACGCTTTAATGGATTGCCTCACCCGTCTATCTTGATCTCTATTATTTTTATTGACATTTGTTGTTTTCTAGAATCAATCAGATAAGATGTCTGTCTGTCACAATGTTTAGAAGAAGAAAACGCTGTAACTTGTGTTGATTATCACATATTGCACCCATCGTTGTTTGTCATGTAGGACAGATGTCCTTAACTGTGATTAATCAGATTGGGAGGACATCTATTATGTTTTTTTTTCTTTGCTAGTTGGGGCAAAAAATGTAACTTTTATCTAGCGTCTTACATTGTGAAATTTATATTGCTTGTTGGGTCGGTTGGGTTTGATAGTCGGAAGTCTAGGGGTGAGCAAAAACCGCACCGCAACTAAAATTAACCGCAAAAACCGCAACCGCAATAAAAACTGATTGTGAGGTTTTCTGTTTTTCAAAAACCGCAAAAAAAACCACACCGTACTGCATATATTATATACAATTTTTTTTATTATTAATTATTAATATATTAAATATTAAAAATAAGACCTCATGGATGAAAAAATGATAAAATTCTAGAAAACAAAAGTGTTGGTTTTTTTTTTTTTATGTTTAACTTTGAAAAATGGTGAAATTTGATAATTTTAAGATATTGTTAATTACTGATGATTTAATGTTTTTAAGATATTAGTTGTTTGTAATTTAAGTTAATTGTCTTATACCTTTATGGTTAATCCATTTTCAAAACCGCTTGGTGCGGTTATTTTTGCGGTGTGGTTAGTCGGTTATTTTTGCAGTGCGGTTTTGTTTTTTTTTTTTTGTTTCGGTTATTATTACAAGTAATATGTTTAAACTCTTAAAACTGTTTAAATTCTAAAGTGCGGTTAAAAACCACACAAAATAACTGCACCCAATCAATACGGTTAATAACCGAAACAAAAAAAAAACAAAACCGCACTGCAAAAATAACCGACTAACCACACTGCAAAAATAATCGCACCAAGCGGTTTTGAAAATGGATTAACCGTATTTACGGTTAGGGGTGAAGTTTTGGTCAATAACCGCACTGAACTGCACCGCGCTCACCCCTAGTCGGAACATATCAACCCAACACTATTGCTACTCCTACTGCCAACTGTCAAGCCTATTGATGTGAAACACGTGTTGTGTTGCTCAAATGTCCTTAATGAGATATCTAGAATTTCCTCTAAAAACCCGGCCTCTTCTGGTCAACCTAATTTTTGATATTCTACTTTGACCTTGGCGCAAATCAAACACTTGCCTACATAGGTAGCAATTTCGGCTTTCATGTTTGGCCACCAGTACAACTTTTTGAGATCCAGATACATCTTATTTGAACCTGGGTGGATGGAGTATCGAGTCTTGTGTGCTTCGTTCATGATGACGTCTCGGAAACCAGCGAACTTCGGTGTCCAGATTCGGTTCATGAGGTAATGAACTCCGTCGTCTTTGACTTCTAGGTTTTTATCCATTCCTCTTAATGCCTCACCCGTCACATTTTCCGGTTGCAAGGCCTCCAGCTGAGCCTCTTTGATTTGTGTGGACAGGTGTGAATGGATTGTCATCGTTAATGACTTTACTCGGCGTCCCGAGTATTCCTTTTGACTTATCTGCTACTACGTTTACCTTACCTGGGTGATAACGAATTTCACACTCGTAATCGTTCAGTAGTTCTACCCATCGTCTTTGCCTCATGTTGAGCTCCTTTTGGTTGAGTATGTGCTAAAGGCTCTTGTGATCGGTAAAGACAGTACACTTTGTTCCGTAAAGGTAGTGCCTATAGATCTTTAGGGCGAACACTACTGCTCCCAATTCGAGGTCATGTGTGGCGTAATTGACCTCGTGCGTTTTCAATTGCCTCGATGCGTAGGCAATGACCTTTCCTCGCTGCATTAATACACACCCAAGCCCCTGGTTTGATGCGTCGCAGTAGACTACAAAGTCTTCGGTTCCTTCTGGCAGAGACAGGATTGGTGCGCTGCACAGGGCTTGTTTTAACGTTTGGAAGGCAGCTTCTTGTTTATCTTCCCATTTAAACATCACACCTTTTTGAGTCAAGGTGGTGAGCAGTTTAGCGATCTTGGAGAAGTTTTGGATGAATCTTTGGTAGTATCCAGCAAGCCCCAAGAATTGTCGGATTTCTGTTGGTGTTGTAGGTGCTGTCCAGTTCTCGATTGCCTTGATTTTGGAGGGGTCCACATGTATCCCTCTCTCACTGACCACATGACAGAGGAAATCCACTTCTCGGATCCAGAATTCGCACTTAGAGAATTTAGCATAAAGCTTCTCAACTCTCAATGTCTCTAACACTTGTCGCAGGTGTTGGCGGTGCTCTTCCTTAATTCGTGAGTAGACCAAAATGTCGTCGATGAATACGATCACGAACTTGTCTAAGTAGGGTCGACACATTCGATTCATCAGGTCCATGAATACCGCAAGTGCGTTTCTTAACCCGAAGGGCATCACTACAAACTCGTAGTGCCCATAGTGAGTTCTGAAGACTGTCTTGGGGATATCTTCTTCTTGAACTCGTAGCTGATGGTAACCCGACCTCATATCGATTTTTAAAAAGTAGCTTGCTCCTTGAAGTTGGTCGAAGAGGTCGTCGATTCGGGGTAGAGGGTATCGGTTTTTGAAGGTAAGCTTATTTAACTCGCGGTAGTCGATGCACATGCGAAAAGATCCGTCCTTCTTCTTCACAAACAGGACTGGTGCTCCCCAAGGTGAAAAGCTCGGCCTGATGAACCCTTTGCTTAACAGCTCGTTCAATTGACTGGACAATTCTTGCATTTCTGCCGGCGCTAGGCGGTATGGAGCTTTGGCTACCGGGGTAGCTCCGGGGACCAAGTCGATTCAGAATTCGACTTGCCGTGCGAGGGGTACGCCTGGAAGGTCTTCAGGGAATACGTCGGGAAAGTTGCACACTTCTGGAATGTCTTTGATATCCTTCGTCTCTTGTTTCTTATCTACTACGTGGGCTAAGAAGGCGTGGTATTCCTTTCAGAGATACTTTTGAGCCTTGACGCAAGAGATGATCTGCCAGTTTGCACTGGGTTTATCTCCGTAGACGAGAAGGGTTTCGCCACTTGGCAAATTGAGGCGAACGGCCCTTTCGTAACATAGAATGTCAGCACGATGAGAACTTAACCAATCCATATAGATGATTATGTCGAAACTTTTTATTGTTACCGGCATTAGGTCAATTTTAAATGAATGATTGTCTAGAGTGAGGGTACACCCTGAGTATATATCGCTAGTGCGCTCTGCCTTTCTGGTTTGCCATTTCTACGACGTATGTGTCTTTTAGTAAATGGGGATCTTGTTTAAGTAAGTGTTTGTATTGGTGGCTCATGAAACTCCTCTCTGCCCCACTATCGAATAGTATGCATGCATAAGAGTTATTAAGGAGGAACGTACCGGTAACCACCGTGGGGTCCTTGACTGCTTCTCCGTGTCCTATAGCTAGGACTCTTCCTACACCCCCAGCATTGGCGTTTCGTGCCTTTGGGCAGTCTCGTTTGAAGTGCTCCGTTTCCCCACAGCCATAGCAGGCACGACTTGCTCCGGTGTTAGTGACTTGAGTGATGGGTTGGGCTGGTGCTTTACAGAATCGAGCAGTGTGCCCCTTCTTGTTGCAGTTGTTGCAGTGTCTTTCCCGACAAGCACCGGTGTGGTGGAAGTTGCATTTATTGCACTTGGGAAGGGTTCCCGCATATTGCTTCAGTGGTGCTGGAGTGACAGGAGTAATGACAGCACGGTCAGCAACTGTCTGTTGCTTTTTGGCGGAGTCTGACACCGACTGCTTCTTTTTGTTGTTCCATAATTTTCTTTTATTGCTCCCCCCCCCTTAGCTTGATCATGGGTGGTAGTAACAGTACCGTGGCTGGCTCTATGGTCGATAAGTTGTTATGCCAATTCCTTGGCACTGTCAAAAGTAGTGGGTTTCGAGGCCAGCATACTATCTTGAATCTGGGATGATAGTCCTGAGAGGTATCGTTCCACCTTCGTCCCTTCTGGAGTGACCATTGCTGGGCAGAGGAGTGCGAGGTCATTGAATCGGGTAGTATAAGTTTCAAGGTATGTGCCCGACATCTTGAGGTTCCAGAGTTCTTCTTCAAGTTTTTGCACTTCGCCCCTCGGGCAATATTCCTTAAGCATCAAAGCTTTCAAGTCCTCCCAGCTTATAGAGTTAGCCACTGGAGGAGTAAGTGACTTAACTCGGCCATTCCACCAAGTGAGAGCTTTACCGGTGAACGTGAATGCCGCATACTTGACTTTGCTCGTTTCGGGACAAGCACAGATTTCGAAAACTGCTTCAGTCCTCTCGAACCATTGCATTAGTGTGACCACTCCCCCGCTTCCATTAAAAAAATCAGGTTTGCCATTCGTGAAGTCTTTGTAAGAACACTCTTTTGTACACCCCGTACTGTCCCCGTGGTTAGAGTGTGTAGCACCAGATCCAGAACCACCAGCACCATTTGTTCCTATCCGCGACATTGTGGCTGCCACGACTGCTGTTACTGCAGCCTGGAACATCACGGAATCAAACTGTGTAGGTGGCGGCGGAGGAGGTGGTGCTGTGTTGCCGGAAGGTCTGGGTCTTTTCCTCGGCGGCATAGTTCTGTCAAAATTTATAAAGACGAAAAATCGGTAAGTCTTAAATTGTAAGTCGGAGTTTATTGAATTTGATTATTTGTTATAGGTCCCGACTTAAAACATTCAAAAATGATTTATGAAGAAAGTTCATGCGCTCGAACTCCCCAAATTTAGTAGTGACCCAAATGTAATTCTGAAATCTTTGGTCATGCCTGGTCCTTTCCTATGATCTCTCGATGCACACCAGTTATTTGTGATTATGGTCTAATAGGCCGTTGAACTTAACGAGTCTATCCTAGGCCCACAACCAAACAAGGAACAGGACCTAAGGCGGACTCACCATTTCTAAGTCGATCGTCTCACAATTACAATTAACCAGGAGGTGTACATTAAGAATCTCAGAAACACCGAGAGCAAATTGTTTGCACTGTCATGCTATGAGATTTATCATAAACTCGTAATGAAATAAAATAAATGCCAATTTCATTGATATACTTTGATACATATTGTTTAGGAGAATTTGACCTTTAAGCAGGTCTACATCAATGTAACGGAAAATTTTGGCATAACATAGCCCCTTGAGTAGTGTAATCACTTAATCGCAGGGTTAGCTTACATGCAAAAAGAGTAGCACCAACGCATACTCATAAACCTACTCTACAAGGACGTGCGAGTAGCATAAGTTCTACTCACGATGATCAGTCCCTGGTGGTG